CTGCCACTGCTAAAGGAACAGTTCCAGCCACGTTCAGCCTAGTTTGTAACCGTTCTCCCACGACTCTAAATCCACGAAATACCATTTTTCTCGGTTTGTAACCATCCCTCCACGTCAGTGCACGTTCTTCTTTTGTTATGATGCCATGTGGACCCCACAAAGATGCTAAAACCGTCAGCAAATCACAAGCAGACGCCCCACGAATATGCGCGACACATTCCACTGACGCGCCTACACGCGTCGGTGGTCACTGCCGCGCCTACGCGCGTCGGTGGTAACTGCCACGCCTATGCGCGTCAGTGTACCTTGTTACGTGTATTCGTGTTGTTCTTTTATGTTGTTTCACATGTTTCTTTGCTTCTTTTGGCTTTGGATGATCCCCTCTGACTTAGCTAACGACATTCATTGTCGACCTTCATCGTCTTCTCTTTATCTTGACCCGTGTTTGGATATCTATAAGCATTTTTAGACGCCTACAGTGGAGTACTTACTATCTTTTCTCTCTCTCTTCTCTTAGTCTAATCCAACTCAACTACTTCAACAATTTGGACTCTCACTCAATCTTATTCTTGAACAGCTCGGGGGATCAAAGTACAATATTGCCAATGTTGAGCTAAGGGAAGACTCATAAACATTTCATTAATCAAAACCCTTTGAACTATGATCTATTTGTACAGCATCCTACCAACTGGCTCTAATGGATGGACACTTATCCTATGTATTATTAACCCAGCCTTGCAAAATTGACTATGCAATAGTAGGTTGCTACCGGTTCCAAAAATCTACTTACCACAGCCTTCATTAGGTTGGCAATTATCCTTCCAAGCACCTTTTCATGGCACCTAACCCATTGGAGCATCTCATGTTGACACTTATCTAATATAGCAGCTCACATTGACACATAATCCAGGGTGAGCATGTTTAAGCTTTATTGCTGATTTTATTTATTGATTATTTAATTTACTTATTCATTGAAAAGTTACATTAAGTAACTCACAAGTTAAGTATATTTATACATTTATACTAAGTTAATAGTTAAAAATCAGTACACTACTTTTCAGTGTGCACGTCGACTTACAGTCTTATTTACACTAACTTTGTAATTATGCTGGTGGATTATTTTGTGTTTACATGTCAGCATACAGTCTCCTTGACATTAATATCACTAGACGAAATCTCTCTCTCATTTGAATCCAATAGATAACATCAAATAAACCATCTCCTTAGGAATTAAAGCAACTCGACCTCTTATTGTTAATTTCAGGTTGAGGTTTCTCGAATTTTCAACTTTGGTTAGTAAGGATATTACATAAGGAGGAAGAAAATTGAATTAAGAAGGGGTCTAATATTTTCACCCCTCTTTTCGTTCTGAGATATATTGCCCAGTGATTGGACATCAACAGTTCAACTTAGAAATACATGTGTTAACTTCTTGCTCGATCTCCATTACATGATGTGCTGACTTATGTAGTGAAACAGAAGCATCTTATTTGTGGTAAGCTAACCATATTATATTCCGATACTAATCGTTCATGACCTTACTCTGTTCGTATCAAAGACACTACTGACTTTTGTGAAATTGTTTTTCCCCTTCTTCATTGTTGTAGCCCTTGTCAGCTGAAGTTTAACCACCTAACAATTCTGTTTGTTATTCCAGTCCCTGAGATGGTGGTGCTGGAATGGTTATAGTTATTTTTCTCTGTATCCGTTAACTTTCGTGTCATTTTATAGCTCATTTGTTATCCTTTTATGTCCTGCCTTGCATGTTTTACGCCAATGCACCTGACTATGATGATTATGGATGGCAATGATGCATTATTCATCAAGTGGTTTTCCTAAGGAAACAGCTCTATATGTTTATTTTATTTTTGCATTTTGTTTAAACTTACAAAAACTCTATGAGCATACATTTTGACAAACACAATTGCTCAATGAAAACGAGCGTTATCTTAACTTTGTTTGACACAGTTCTCTACAGGATGTTATATTTCCTCATTGCCGTATCCATAGAGAGTCTCACCTGTTTCCTTCATAGTTATTTCTTTCATCTCCCTTTTAAAAGCATGGAACTTTTAGTTGAGACCCCAAACTTTCGCCAAACCACTGCTAGTCCACGTTAGGCACGAACCCTGTTACAAAAACTTGATGCATAGTTCAGAATTTCTTAGTTTTCCTGAAACATATAAAACAAAATGGTCAGGTTTCCATTCTGAGTTGAAGCTTCTTTATTTTATCTAGTCCACTTGTTTCATTGACTTCTTTGACAAATTCCTGCTTGTTTATATGTGGAAGGTTCGAAGTGGAGGAGTCACCAGCGCGAACTTATCCTTGTATGGTTATTACTAATATAGGTGTGTTTGTAGTCTATTCATATAGATAGAAAAATATTGTATATGCCAGCAAAGTTAAGCCTTGGTTAGTTATTTGGATGACTACCCAAAGTGTGTACTTTATAAAGTAGCACATCTTCAAATGTTACAGTTAGTTGTCTGAAAGCTATGATCATTCTACCCTTTCTTGACTTGAGTTATATTAGCAAATATATGCAGGGCCTTAATTCATGGGATACGGCTAGATGTTTTTCTCTCTCGCAGTTGGTACCTTTTTCTTTCCGCAAAGAAATTTTCTAAACAAACTCATTCACATTTTTTAAAAAAAATCAAACCCCTTGAGTTTTTTTTACAAAAATCGACCAATTTTTTTAATCCGGTTCCTAAATAGTCGGGGTTGCCAACCCCGACTATTTAGTACATAGAATGTTAGGATTTAGGGTTGTAATTGGGGTTTAGTAACCTCCTAAATAGTCGGGGTTGGTAACCCTGACTATTTAGGAACCGGATTAAAACAAATCGACCCACTTTCTTATCACGATGCTGACGTGGCGAGAAAATGGGTCGATTTTTGTAAAAAAAACTAAGGGGGTCGTTTTGTAAAAAAAAACTAAGGGGGTCGATTTAAAAAAAAAGTTGAATGAGTTTATTTAGAAAGTTTCTTCTTCTTTCTGCACATCGAGAATTCAAGAGTGAAACTATAGTTATTGTGAACCTTCATCTTGTGAAAGAAATGATTGTTGCGGGATAACAGTAGCCTGAGAAGTTCTTGCATCTGGAGTAGTAGTAATTTTAGTGATTTTCAATTGCTGTAGATTTTCCTAGAGCAAGCCTCAGCATTCATACTGTCAAAATGTCAAGGCAAACCCTACATTATTAAGTAGTGTATTTAAAATATAGTAGTATACCCTCGTCAAAACTTTAAAATAATTCTGTAGTGAAGGTGATCCACTGATCCTTTAACATAATATCTGATCAACCCACGTTCAAATTCGTTGGGACGGGAATCTAAAGTAGATTTAGGATAATAAAATCATGTTTCTTAAGTTCGGGTTTCAGTTCATGAAAAGGACAATCATCATGTAAATACATATTAGAGTAGGAAATTATAATCCTCACCCGTTACTTCAGAGTTTTGGGGCTTGTTTGGATTGAGGGGAATAAGGGTGAAGGGAAGTTAGGAGAACCATTTACCTCTATTCATCTTGTTTGGGAACATTTAGGAGGTGAAGTTATTCACCCTAGTTCCCCTTGGTTCACCCCCTAATAGTATAAAATTTGTTACCCCTCAAATTGGGGTGTAACCAAGGGGAAGGGAACTCCCTTCCCTTCCCTTCCATTCTCTCACCTAGTTTCCCTTAACTTCCCTTCACCCACTACAAATCCAAACAGGCTCTTGGTGTAATGAAAATATTTAATGATGTAAACCCATGCAACGTGCCTTCGCTGATGACCAAGCACAATCTCATACCTCACAGTAATCAAATTTGAATGATGAAAATAAATTTGTTGCATAAATCAGTACAATTTGAAATTAAGTAGCTACCTGTAGGGTTGAAGAAGGGGTTAAAGTAGGGGTGAGCATGGTTTGGTCCAAACCGAAAAAACTGATCGAACCGAACCGAAATTAACAGTTCGGTTCGGTTTTATGAATATAGCGGTTCGAGTCGGGTTGAAAATTTTTTAAACTGACCCGACTCGAACCAACCGAACTCTTCTAATTCTAAATACCCAGTGAATCAGTTATGAATTGCACTCAACCCGACCCGTCCCCAATGCCCACTCCCCAAATACTCATCTCAAACCTTAAACTCTCATTCCCTTTCCCCCTTTCCCACTCCCAGCCGCAAACCAATCAGACCGATCAACAAGCCTCTGATCCATTGGATCTGTTCTCTTCGACGACGACAGGGAACTCGTCAGGGGTTTCTGGAACCCCACAGTTTGCTGAGATGAATGATTGGGATGTGGGTGCAGAGTTTGGAGGGCAAGATCACAGTGAGACGACTACTGAGCTCGAAGGGCTTCCTCCTCCTCCGGCAGGAGTCACGTCTTCAATGGCGAAAACTAAAGGAATGGATAATTATAAAGAAGGATAGTTTGCTGATGCTATCAAGTGGCTATCTTGGGCTGTTGTTCTCATTGAGAAGAGTGGAGATAGTGCTGACGCCCATGAGGTTTTGATTTGCAGAGCTTCTTGTTATAAGGACATTGAGAAGAGTGGAGATAGTGCTGACGCCCATGAGGTTTTGATTTGCAGAGCTTCTTGTTATAAGGAGGTCGACGAGTATAAAAAGGCAGTTGCAGATTGCTCAAAGGTTTGACAATCTTCAACTCTTGTTCTTCTGCATATTTGTTATTTTCTAGTACATGTGCCTATATGGAATAGTGATAGTCTTGAAATCCTTAAATTTGGGATGGGTGCTTCTAGCTTGAGTAGAATTTCAATATTTCAAAATGCATCTAACTGGACTTTATGATTGAACCTCAAGTCTGAATTTCTCCTTGTATTTTCCTTTGGCTATCATCAAATTGGAACCGAACAAACCGAACCGAACCGACTTGCAACGGTTCGGTTCGGTTTTGATGAATTGTAAGCGGTTCGGTTCGGTTGTTCAAATTTTGGTAAAAACCGAACCGAACCGAACCGACGGATGCTCACCCCTAGGTTAAAGGCTCAAAGGATTCAAAGGGATTAATACAAATTTGGGATTTTTTGATCTCATGTCTTTTTACAAACCAAACCCACAAATGGATGTGAGCACTCTATACTTTTGCTTTTTAACATACTAGTTGACATGCACGTGCAATACACGTAGTTGAATATCATGATTATTTAAATTGATAAAAATATAATAAAAATAAAAAAGAAAATATAGTTTTTGTGAGATTGATCATCAACTCAATAATCTCTCTCTCAAATGAAATATTGTTATTGTTTCCTTCAACCCAGGCTGTGGCCACGTGATATATTATTTGTGAGTTATAAACACATTGATCTAGTACAACATCTCTGTTTATTAGTATCTTAATGTCTTCAAAAGATGGGTGATTATTCAATTCGCAAAGGAATTTTGCATATAAATTTACTTGCAATATGTCCATTAAATTTTTAGTTGTAGTTTGGCTCATATTCACATTAACTTTCAATCATATTCACATTATCTAATATTCTCTTTCAATTTTATAGCTCATTCTCTATATCATAGAAGTAAAACTGAAAGTATTAAGAATTATTTTCTTGTAAAATTAGAGCAAGAAGATTATGATATATTTCGTCATGTGCTCTAAATATAAATTTTTTTTCTTTGATGAAAGGTCTCTATCAAATATTGTCCCAAACAATGTGAATAAAAAATGGGACAAATTTTTGAAAACACCCACTTTTAAAATTTAAATAGCAAAAACAACCTTTGTAAAAAAAATGAGCAAAACCGACCATTTTCAGATGAAAAGAGTCGGTTGTGGATTTTGCGAAATGCACGTGACTGCTAATCTTGTGCATTTCATTGCTTTTATGTCTGCTTCCGTGACCCCCCTCACAAACGCCTCACAAACGCCCGTGACCGACCCCCCTCAAACAATTAACCCCCCCTCTCCTCTCTCTAAACCTTCACTCTCTCTCTCTCATGGAAGCAACAGTACAACACGTGCCCAAGTCCTCATCGGACCAGCTTCTCTACAAATTTGCGGAGCTCGAATCCTCCGACCCGGTCCAAACCCGCAAGCTGCAAACGGCAAGCAAGCCTCCGAAAGCGATGAGGAGGAAGAGGTCGAATAGGGTAGCGTCGGGGCTCGGGGCGAGGGAAGTGGTCGCCTCCGGTGTGGATGCTGCTGCGGTGACCAAGAGGAGGAGGGGTGGTTTATTAATGGCGAGCGGAACAAGGCTTTTGCTCCCGCCGTTGCTGCGCGACAGTTATCGAGGAGGTCGGCGGGATCGGCGTTGAGGAGGATGGGGGTCGGGAGGGGCGGAGCGGGGGGGCTGCCGACGTTGCTGGCGACGTTGGAGAAGGTCCGTGCTTTAGATCTTTTTATTTTGTTCCACAGTCTAGTTTGTTGTTGGGAGTTGCGGGGTCGGCGGGGTCGCAAGAGGAGAGGGTTAATTATTTGAGGGGGGTCGGTCACAGGCGTTTGTGAGGGGGGTCATGGGAGGCTTAAAAGCAATGAAATGCACGAGACTAGCAATGAAATGCACGGGACTGCTAGTCCCATGCATTTCGCAAAAACCTTTCCCCAGCAAAACTGACCCTTTTCATCTGAAAATAGTCGGTTTTGCTCTTTTTTTACAAAGTGTCGTTTTTGCTATTTAAATTTTAAAAGTGTGTGCTTTCAAAAATTTATCCTAAAAATGCTATTATAACTCACTTGCCTAAGGCAATTGTATTGTACATAGGACATATAACTCATCTAGAATATCCGCATCTACTAAGTTAATTTTGTTGTTGTGAGAGCAAAATGTTAGAGGCTTATATTCAAATTTTTTGACTCTATAGAAGACACAAGAATTTGGAGTGCATAGTTTATATATTGTAAAGAATATACTGGTTTATGAAAATTTTTTTCTAATAACGATATTATTACAATAATATTACTATTCAGTATTAAATCAAGTTTATTATATAAGATTATATGATCTTTTTAAATAAACTATAAAGTATATATGAAAACCTCGATGCTTATGGTTAGTAGTTGGGCTCCATAAAATAGGTTAACCTTACATTGTAGTTTGTTATTGGTAGTACTGTTTGCAATGTCATTACCTTTCCTCTTTATCTTATTATTCACGCTTTTCTGATATAAGTTCTTTTTTGCTAATCACTCAATTGGGCTATATTGAGTTATTATAAAATCAGATGTTAGAATATTCTTTTCTGTTTAAAACGTATTGATATGATTTTCTTAAAAAATATATACACGTAGTAACAATAATATATACTTCAGTTCAACTCAAACATTGGCTTGAAGCCATTTAGAGTGAGGTTTTTTCTACGCTTGTAATATAGTGATTACGTAATCCGAAAGTCAAAGAAGAATTTTCGACAAAGGAAAAGTAATCTAATATATCAAATTAACAACTAATTATAAAATATAGATGGCAGTACGGATAGCTATAGGAAGTAATGTATATATCTTCATGAAAATTTTATAGTGAGTGACAAACTACAATTATCCTAATTTAAGCATAAATAATTATTATTTTAATAACTAATTTAATATGCATAACTATGGAATAACTCTCAAGCAAAAAATATGAATTGAGATTTATATTATCCTATAGGTTAATAAATAAGCGTTATTAGAGCTCAAATTTAAAAGTAATAATTTAAATTATTAAGCGTCAAATATTAGTTCATGCGAGAAAGTAAAGTAATATATGGTTTATATACATATATAATCAATCAATCAAAATATATTAAAATTATGATGACCACTCTCAAAATTATATGGTGGGTTCATATTAAGTACAATTTAGAAAAAATAATACATTAAAGTCAAAAAACTTTTAACCATTATATAGATTGTCTAAAAAATTTTGTATATATAAATTGTACTGCCTAGGAATAGTGATGTGCATACTTAACTATGATCTAATACATCTTAAGAACGACTTGTTCTTCAATATCATCATTAATTGACGTATCTATGCATTACACTGAAAACACATGAAAATTTAGAAAACTACAAAAGAAACACCCTCAAAAGTTTTAAAAATTATAAAAAAACAGCCCAAATTTTTGTAATTTAAAAATATGCAAAACTATTAAACATTACATTGAAATCAAGGAATTACAAACAACCATTAAAAATTTTCAAACTTTGGAATAGTAATTTGCAATGTACTAAACTTTAAGGATTTTTGTTATAAATTTTAAATTTAATAGATTTTTCAATTAGTTGTGTTCTTTTCAAAAAAGTTATGACTAATATTGACCATGAAAAGTTTTTCCTGAACTTATACTTTTAAAGAGAATATGGTATTTTTTGTAAATTTTTAATTTTCTAGAGGTTAGTAATTTGTATATTCATTTTAGTATCTATAGGTTAGAAATTCTCATGGAATTTTTTTGGTAAATTGTGAATTTTAGGGTTTTTTATAATTTTTTAGGCTTACAGGCATTTTCTACATATTGTAAATTGTTTATAGACTATTTATATTTCCTATGTTTTCAATTTACCAATGAGTTTGAAATTCTCAGGGTGTTTTTTATAAAATTTGAATTTTGAGTATTTGTTTATAACTTTTAAAATTTTAAGAGTGTTTTTTATAAATTATAAATTATGTAGGGAATATTTGTAATTCTTATAATTTCAATGTAGTGTTAGGTTAGAAATTATCAGGATTTTTATAAATTTATAATTTTGATGGTTTTATTTTACGATTTGTAAAAGTTTAGTGTTTATTGCAAATTCCATAAATTTTTGGAGGTTGTTTGTGTTATTTGTAGGTTTTTAGTGTGTTTATAGGTTTGAAATTTTTAATGTGTTTTTTACAAATTTTAAATTTTTAGGGGTGTTTTTATAATTTTTAAAATTTACAAGATATTTGCTCCATAGTCAAAAAAACTTTCAGTTTCTAGCTAGCGTATGTTTTTTAGATTTCTCGCTGAATTGAAATAAATAAACTTATAAATATGATAAATTATTAAATAACCAATTTAAAGAAGATAGGATAATTAGAATAGATTAGAATAACAATGTAATATTAAAAAAAATTAAAGGTAATATTGACCATGAAAAGATTTTTCCAAACTCGTACTTTTAAAGAGAGTATGATATGATATGATACGATCTATTTCACTAAAGAGTAAATGCTAATGGTTAATAAAATCATCTCGAACTTGGGGATAGAAGATTCAAACGCGATAAGATTTTAGGTACTGTCAAAGTAACTGCATGGAGTTAGTTTCTTTCCTTATTTTCGCGTCTTCAAGAGATTGAGAGACTGTTTAGTTGGTGGATTGCGTCTTGATGCATTTAATGAATTTTAAAAAATACATTCTCAAAATCTTATTTGTTTGTCATGAATATTTAAGAGAATTGGTATGAGGGATAAAATGCAAACTGAAGTTTGTTTGGTTGTATATGAATTTTGTTAAGGATATGTGACTGAAATTACAAATCTAACCGAAATTAGCATAACTTAAGAGAATTATATTTAATGTAATTATCCTAAGTTGCAACTCGAAATCTGTGACATGAAAAATGCCATACAAACATTGAATTTAATAAGAATCTAGGATTTTAAATTTGTAAATCTTATTTTTCAATGCAAAACATCACAAATACACAGAAACAAACACCCCCTCACACGTATGCATCGAAGAAGCGACGCTGGAAAATAATCTCAAAACCTCACTTTTTTCTTTTTCGTTTGTGGCATGCAAATCTACGTTGACATTATTACCCAGCTTGCTTCGTTTGCCCCCATTACCCGAATCCGATTAGACGGTGCGGTGCTGGAACAATCTTGCATAATAATAACGCAATAATTAAGCCCGTATTCGCATAGATAGTTTTAATTTCTCTTATTTATATATGTAGGCTAATATGCCATTCTAATACGTTAAGCAATTTTAGTGTAATAAGAGAGATGACTGATCATCTATTAACTAATACATTAAATACTTATGATGGAATAGACAAAGAATACATCTTTTTGCTATGTTATGAGAAGAAAGGAACAAAGCTTTTTCTTATCAGTTAAAGTAGATAGTTTGAATGGTAGGGTTTTTCTTAGATAAATTAAATCTTAAATTTGAAATTTAAAATTAGATAGCCTAAATATCAATCTCTCCTTTCAAATCTAAATAAAAATTTATGATTTCTAAAAACTAAAAAACGACTGAAATTTCAATGTCTGGGATTTCAATCAATGCTTATGTTTGGTACGTCCGAGATTAGGACACAAATACGATTAGGACTTTCCTCTAATTCCCAACCATCCCCTAGTATTAACGATTGTTATGGTAATTTACCATCCAAAGATAGAGGTATCGGGAGAATGTCTGCATAAGTTCAAGAAAGCTATGGTCCAAACTAACTTAGAGGCTCATAAGCCCAGCCAAGGTCAAGTCTCCCGACCAGACAAGCAGACAAGCCATATTTCGATCAAGGGTCATCATGACCGACTCGAAATGTGGGATCAGTCGCCCCCTCGTAATTAAGACGACTCCTCGAGCAGATGACACTACAACAAAATACAGCATTTCCGACGAAACAAAAACGTCGGCAAAAGTTTAAAAAACGTCGGCAAAAATCTTTCCCGACGCAAAATGCAGCGTCGCTAACGCGTCGCTAAAAGTGCGTCAAGGAAAGTATTTGGCGACGTAAAACAACCTGTGTCGGTAAAAGTCAACACTTTTGGCGACGCGTCATGCGTCGGGAAAAGTACATCTTTAGCGACGCATAATATTTTGCGTCGGCAAAAGGTATGCAGAATTTTCTCAAATGCAAGGGTGCGTCGGCAAAAGTAGTACTTTTGGCGACGCATGCTGCGTTGGCGAAAACCAAAACGTCGGCAAAAACATAGGTTTTAGCGACGCAAAACTATTCGTCGCTAAAAATTATACTTTTGGCGACGCAATTTAGCGTCGGCAAAAGTATAGCTTTTAGCGACGTTTCATTCTGCGTCGCTAAAAGCTATATCTTTGGCGACGCAAGATAGCGTCGCTAAAATATATTACTTTTAGCGACGCAATATAACGTCGGCAAAAGTGTTACTTTTAGTGACGCAATTTAGTGCATCGCTAAAAGTTAAAAATTTAGTGATGCAATTTAACGTCAGCAAAGGTATAATTTTTGGCAACGCATAATTATCTTTTCTGTCAACTACAAGCCTACACTGAACCTGAACATCCACAAAAAATTGCACCCATTCACATCAACAAAGAAACCGAACATCAAATTATACTCCAAACACGTTGCATATTATGATAAGCAAAGAATTTACTCCATTACAAATTAGTTACATTCATTTCCATTTCCAAGTCAATACTCAAAGGCCTATTTAAATATTCCAATTTGCTTGTAATCCACAAAGGAAAAAAAAAAGAAACACAATTTGCTTGATCAAATTCGTTGCTTGATCCCGTCTGTTATGTTTCTCTGCCTCATCTGGTGCATAATTCTTCCTTTTGCTTCATATTCCTATTCCTCCGTTTGCACAAAGTGTCCAAGCTGGCAAGCCTAAGCTAAAACTATCAAGCCTGTCCACATTGACTCGTGCTGCATGAAAGTGATTTACTAAAAATATTTAGCCCGCATTTCAAGAAAAAAAGATTTTTAATTATTATTTAGCCCAAGACCTTATTAACCATTCTGTTCTTTATTTTTTTCGTATGTATTCTTCCATTTTAGCTTATGTTTTCTAAACCTAAAAATATATATAAAACCTTCCAGCTTTATTATTTCCATGTATTCGGAAGTACATGTATTCAGAAGTTTGCAAGAAACAATAGAAAACAAGGAAAAGCAAAAAAAGTCTAGACTAAATTCATGATAAAAAGAAATGCAGTAAATGTTCTGTTGAGTCAATTTAAGAATTCATAACTAGAAGAAAATGTAAATTTCACAAGCTGCAAAACACAACTCTATTTTTACCTCATCAGACATTCCTCCTAAAAGATTTTTCTGTTGTGTCTCACCAAACCAGCTGAAGAACCTGTATCACAAAAAAAAAGATGTGTAAAATGAAAACTAGGATGTATATAATATAGCTAAGCATTATGAAATTAATGATCCATATTAAACAAATGATTTAGCGTATCCCTAATATAAATTGTGCAAGCCCCACTGGCAGTGTATTTGTATCCATAATAGTATAGCCTGACTTGAGCAAGTTGTGGTTGAAAGTCAATATAAATAGTAGATAATAAATGGATAATACAATCATGAACAGAAGACAATAAACTAAAATTTCAGAATAACTCACAAATGTAATAGTATAGCCTGACTTCACATCTTTTGAATCCTCCACGTCCAAAGAAACCAAATGCTTGAAAATCTACAGAAGGGGACAATTTACGAGGTATGAGAATAGCAGTTATATGTCAAAGAAAAGTGAGCATTCAAAGGCGATATGTGACTAAATGCTTAAACAACCGCAACTGAAAATAATAAACGAAGGCCAATAAACATATCAAGGCAAACCTTGGATTTAGGTTGTTAAGCAACGTACCAGTAAACCACAGAAAGGAACAAGTCAAATAATATACTCGAGGAAGGCCAAAATGGAGACTAATCAGAAGCGCTAGCTAGAGACTAATCAGAAGCGCTAGCTAGAGCATAATGGAGACTATGTTTACGCTTGAAAGTTTGTTTACTTTTGGCATGAGAACATGGCAAAGTTTTAACAGCAGTCTTCATGGGCAACATTTGCGCAGAATCATCAAAACCAGGGCAGAACAAATCCCAAACAAAATGGTAAGAGCTTTCTACAAACAAAAAAAATAGAGGCTCTCATGCCATCTAGAAAATAATAATAATAATGAGACAATAAAAGAAAACAGCTCAAGCAACACTATTTGAACAACTAGTTTGAACAAATGAATCAAACAAACAATACCGATCTGCAACCTTGATGAGTGAGTATACTAGTATACAGTTGGAGGAGAGACGATCAAAATCATGGTACCATTCCAAGATCCTTACATTCCTTGAAGTATTCGTGCTCAAGAGCATGCCGAGCAATGATTCTTTTAGCTGGTTCATACTGAAGCATTTTCTGGCAACATAAAGATCATTAATAAGCCTTACTAAGTATTACAAAAGTGGAATTGTAACATGAGATATAGCCCTACATTGCAGATATGAAATAGTTGTGTCCAATTAATTACACATTTGAAGCAGTGAGTGTCAAAGATAATTTAGTGTCAGCATTTGTGTTGAACTGTTCACATTCTTAAGAGGACAACCGTTGCTAGATCCTGCACATCAGACAGAAGATCAAGTCCAGTTGATTCAAGATTTGGGACAACTGTTGCTAGATCCTGCACATCAGACAGTAAATAGTGTCCTTCAAGGTTCACTTAAACCTGACTAACAGAAGAAATTTCAGCATGAAAGCAATAATTGGCTCACCCTAGGAGGCTTGGGTTTAGGCCACTGTGGAAAGAATGCAAATTTAGACATCTTGATCATTGTACAAAAGAAAACATCAGTTTGAAGAACAGTAATTATAAGCTTAATGCCTGGATTAAACATAAAAGATCAGACTGGATTAAACATATAGTAAGATATTCTATGACATGCTTTAATCATATTGATTAATCCATTAGAATGTAGGTACTCACCAAGAAAATTGGCCTTGACATCAACAACAGAAAGCAAAAGGTAGTAATACCAACGCATCTGCACATAAATCAGACTAGTTAAAATGTTAGGTACAAGAACGGAATAACTACATATGATTGAAGGTCGAGGAGGTAATTCTGAATGACAATGAAAATATCCTGGTTTTAATGTGTTTAAGCCTACTTGTTCAGTGTCCGTGTCGTCTTCATCAAGCATATTTCCATTAAGATTAGGTCAGATGTGCAGTATATTCTATGGCGATAAAAATGGCTCAACAGCAACATCAAGTATCAATCATAAAGCATCACCAATTTGTTAACTGCGTAATAAATAATGGAACAATTGAACTTGTATATGCCCATTTTTCATGAGATTGATGGTGGCAGGAACTGCGTAATAAATAATGGAACAATTGAACTTGTATATGCCCATTTTTCATGAGATTGATGGTGGCAGGAACATTAATTTACAAAAATTTAAATTTGAACTTGTATATGCCCATTTTTCATGAGATTGATGGTGGCAGGAACATTAATTTACAAAAATTTAAATTTAAAAGACATTAAGAACAGAAGCATATGCAAGGAATAACTATCTTCTTGAAGAATCAATTCTGAGGGGGGAAGAAAGTCTTTTGTAGGAGGATAAAGTCTTTGTTATTCTGTTTGGTTGTCTGGTAGGACACAGTAAACAAAAGGATAGATTCAAGAAGATGTAAATTATTCCTCATTTGTTAGTAAATAAACTGCCTCCAATTCTACCAGAACTACAAATAAATGCCTAGTGCTGTATATAAAATTTCATCAAGGTACTACCTCCAACTGCACGTAAAAACTAGTACTCGTTTATCTTTCATCAACATAATCTCCAGAAAAGTATCTATGTCTCTCAAATAATGCTTTGTCTAATGCTAAACAATGTTAGATTATTTCTTTCGATTCATACACGGATGTTGGAACTCAATATTTATCTAAAGGGAAACAATGTTAGGTTATTTCTTTCATACACAGACGTCGAAAGTCTGAGTGTTTATCTAAGAAAAAAGGTCAGTTTCTGCAGTTTAGCCCTGATTCTAAAATAATCAATAGCAACTGCACTTTTTAAGGGCTCCCTTGAGATGACCAAATTTCTCTATTCTACTGAAACACCTACTTTTAGGAATTGAACTGTCCTAGAATAGAAGAATAATCTCATTCATTATTGTAGGACATAATACATAGAAATTAAAAAATAAATACCTGGAGAGGTTTCCTCCTGTAGATCAAAAAACCGCCATAAAATAGCGCCAGCAGCAAATAATTCAAGAAGGACTGAGACGTAGGAGCACTGATACCTGAAACCAAGCAATACCCATTTCAACAAAATCAAAAAAATTCAACATGGGTATTGAAAAAAATCTCATTTAAAAGATAAATGTACAGAATTAACCTCGCCTTGAGAGCTCAGAAGATGAGAAGCCAGTAGAAGTTATCAGAAGGGAAAAAAACTGGCCTAAACCCAAGCCAGCCCAAGTTATCAGAAGAGAATTTCAGGTGCCCTATACCACAGAGTGACTACCTGAGAGGAACGACGCTTTGGATTGAATGAAGCTACGAACTCCGCTCGAGGCTCCTCATCGCCTCCATCGACTTCTTCAAACCCTAGGTACAGATCTGAACACCAAAAGCCCATCAAACAACCACTCAAAGCAGGGACGACGGTGGCATGGGGAGAGAGGAGGTCGGGTAGGGGGGAAGCAACGGCGGCGTAGGGAAGCAGCAGCGGTGGCATGGGGAGAAAGAGGTCGGGTAGGGGGCAACGAGGGGAGAGAGGAGGTTGAGGGGTTGGGAAAACGGGGGCGGCGGGATGGGGCGGCGAGGGACGGCGAGATGGGGCGGTGGAACGAGGGGAGAGAGGAGGTCGAGGGGGTGGGGGAACGGGGTCGGCGGGATGGTGCGGCTGTGAAATTTGGGGGAACGAATGAAATTTAGGGGGGAGGGGAACGAATGAATTTTGGGGAAAACAAATGAAATTTTGGGGGAGGGGAACAAATGAATTTTGGGGGGAACGATTTTTGGCGACGCAGATCAATAAAAAAGCGCCGTTAAAAATATACCTTAAAACAGGGACGTCGGGAAAAATAAGCTTTTAGCGACGCTTATCTACACGTTGCCATATATACACATTATTAGCCACGCCAGCTCTAAAACGTCGCTAAACATACGTACTTTTACCGACGAAAATAAAAAAACGTCGGGAAATCTATACACTTTTACCGACGCTAAGTTAAAACGTCGCTAATAATATACACTTTTAGCGACGCTAATTATAAACGTGGGGAAAAATATATGTTTTGCCGACGCTAACTAAAATCGTCGGGAAAAACATATTTTTTGGCGACGTATTTAACCATGCGTCGGGAATAAGCGTTGGGAAAAATACAATTTGTTGTAGTGTGACTCGACTATACACCTGACCCGAAGCTCACTCGCTATCGGGTCGCCAAACCATAATGATGGCTCGCAGATCAACCCCGAAGCTCACTCGCTATCGGGTCGCCAAACCATAATGATGGCTCGCAGATCAACCCGTCTTGACTAAAGGGATAAGAGCCGACCAAGTTCACTTCAGATGTCAATCGACAATAGTATTGATTAGTCCCATCAAGATCTCCGTTCTGACAAACCTGATGCCCAAGCCGCTTATTCTGCTCACAAGTCATTTCCCAGAAGTTTGTCATGATGCTTCCATGTGCACGAATGACTTCTCCTCCAAACACCAGCCGCCACCTGGAGAAAGAAGGACGGTCACACAGCCGACCTATCCTACGCCCTACCTCTTCTATCAAATCCAGGATATTGAGAATCTGTTTCTCTCCTATATTCGAATGACTTCCATTCCAGTCGCCAGTCGACATCTGGAAGGAGAAGGATGACTCAGCACCTCTATTGCTCACCTCTCAGTCGCCTCCTGTGTATTAACGACATATGACTTTTATGATTATTATATTCTCTAACCTCACACTAATGGATTATAATATTAGAATACAATATGTTAAATTAAGGGACAACTTGTAATTTTAGAATTTTTCGGGTGATGTTTATAAAGTTTTGAGAGCAATTTATATTTTTTGAAACTCTCAAATGTGTGGTTGTAAAGTTTTTAGGGGGTTATCTTGTAAAATTTTTATTGGGGCTATTATTTATTTACAAAACTCTTAGGGGCTTTTTGTACACCCTTTGGGTGTGTTTGTAATTTTGAAAATATTTGAGGGGTTGCTTATAAAATTACTTTCAAGGGGATGGTTATAAAAGATGAGTTTATGGTGTTATTTATATTTCTCAGGGGTTTATTTATAATTTTCTAGGATTTTTTGTAATTTATGGGTTTAAAAGATGAGTTTATAATTTTCTAAATTTTATGGTGTTATTTATATTTCTCAGGGGTTTATTTATAATTTTTGAATTTTAAGGGGTTGTTTGCAACTTTCATGGGGCTATTGGTAAGTTTCAGATTTTTTGTGTGGTGTTTGTAATTTTTGAAATTTCTAGGGATTGTTTTATAATTTATGGGTTTTAAATGGGACAATATATAATTTTTTGAATTTCATGATGCTATTTATAATATTCGGATATTTTCAAGGGTTTATTTGTAATTTCTAAATCTTAAAGGGTTGTTTGTAAATTTTTTTTTCAGGCCTATTTGAAGTTTTATATTTATCACGTGGTTGACTTTAATTTTTGAATCTTAAAGGGTAGTTTGTAATTTTTTGGTTTTTATAGGGTGTTTGTGATTTTTGGATTTTGAAGGTGACGTTTGATAATTTTCTAATCTTGTAAACCCATTTTTTATAGATGAGTGCTTTAGATTGATGTCAGCTATCAAATATGGAATAATTTGCAGGTCTTTGGAGTGATTAAGGTCCTCTAACTCCTTCTGATGTATGGCTCTGAGGTTTTCTGTTTTTCCCCGCACAAGAAAAAACTCGTAAGAGGCCGGAGTTGAGTTCTCCAGTTGTTCCTCCAAAGATCAAGTCAGTAGATGATCTTGAGTGGGGAAATATAGAGTTAGCTATTAGTTGTGTCCAAAAAATATCAGAGAGCCTTACCTCATGCAGTTCCTCTCGTTTTTATAGTGGATCTGAGGGGGCAAGAAGCTAATTTGGGCTGAGTCCAGCTAGGCAGCTGAGTCGGCAGACATGTGCTACGTGTCGTTTGTTGAGGGATGTGAGTCACCCGGTCATTTATTATGGGAAAGACAGCAGGTGCTCAGTGCTGACTGGGATTGATGAGTCACAAAGGCTATGGGAGCTAGAGAAATGATAATTTTGTCAGAGCAGTTAATGCAAGGACATGTGGCTGTCAGCGCGGGGTTCGAGAAAACTACTAACTCTTTTAGTCGTCTAGCTGATGGTAGACTATACCTGTTGACAGCTGATACAACGGGCTAAGTGGGGGTTATACGGAGGAGCGACTGGCCAGGTTGGACGACAAGTACCGCCTTTTGATTCAAATATGCGAGATGTCTGCTAAACAGTGGGCCGAGTCGGGTGGCTTGTGGAGTCGATCGAAGGGTTGGCCGAGTTGTACCACCTTTTGTCTCGGTTACGCGAGATATCAGCTGAACAGTGGGCTGAGTCGAGTGGAGATTATTTTCGTCTTGAATTAGATGTATTAGGTATAGTGTAAGACATGTGGCGATTGCTCTTTGAAAGATTAAAATTTAGTATTTTTCAGGATATAACAGATAGTTTTAATTTGGTAAGGATTCCTAGGCAGAGATGATTATAGGCTTTTAATTATTAGAATTTTCTAATTATGGATTGTTTTCATTTGATTAGGATTCTTAAGTGAAGATACGTTTACGTGTCAACATTTCAATTTCTAACAGGGGATATGATTATGAGATTTTTTTTAAGTATAGATAGTCATAATTTGTTTAGGATTACGACTTATTTGGTTATTAGAATTTTATAATTATAGGTAGTTTTAATTTGATGAGAGTTTTTAATTAGATGAGGATAAGATTAGTTGTCCACATGTCTTCTTATGAGAGATAGAAGGACGCATGACTATTTTTTGATATGGCACATGTTTACAATAATACATGACCCCTTTTTTTTGTGCGCTACAGGCTTGTTTGGTAACCAGAAGATAAATGGAAAGAGAACTAAAAATTGGCACTTGAAAAGTGGGTGGAAAGTAAATAGAAAGTAAAACATGTGAGGTTAGCCTTTTATCCCTAATTGGCACTTGGAAAGTGGGTGGAAAGTAAATAGACAGTAAAACGTGTGAGGTTAGCCTTTTATCCCTCTTTCACTTTCTTAAAGAAATGGAGAAATTGGAGAGAGAGAGAGAAATTAGTTTTTAGTTATTTTTTAGTACAGAGAGAGGAGAGAGAAATTAGTTTTTAGTTATTTTTTCACTACTATTTAGTTTTCAAAATATTTTTTTCCTCCAGTTTTTTATCTGTTAAAGAGGACTGCGGCCACCCTATCGAAAGCACTCCCTGAGCAGGAAATCCACAAAGCCGTCACCTCAACGTTCTCTAGTTTCACTTTGCTAAAAATAATGCTAGAGGCACACCCCCAACCACTCCTAACCACACCCCCACATTCTCTATAGTGCTAGTGGGCCATGCATGATATTTTAAAAAAAAATATCATGCATGGCCCACTAGCACTATAGAGAGTGTGGGGGTGTGGTTGAGAGTGTGGTTGAGGGACTCCTTTGCTAATTGCTATGTCATAAACGAGACTTAAAAGAATTTCTTAATATATATTCACATGAACTGGTTGTAAAATAATTATATATTTCAATGTGCAATTGTAGAAATAAGTGCTCAACGAGTGTGAAGGTTCGCCTTACAAATGCAACTAGGTGCCCATTAAGTCTTCACAATTAAAATACATAATGAAATTGAGTATTTCACTTTCAGAAAAGTATAGTTTTCACTATTTATTTTCCAATGAAGCCAAACAATCCATATAAAGAAAGTGAATGTCACGTTAGCTGTCACCTCAACTTTCTAAACTTTCATTTTCTATCATAAAAACAAGATTTACAAATAGAAGGTCAAGAAAAAGTATTTTCCCTGTACTTTTTTACTTTCTATTTAGGACCTGTTCGTTTGCCATAAAAAAACTGGGAAATCAAAGAAATAGAAAACTATTTCTAAGAAAAATAGGTTTTTGACTTGTTTGGTTGGCTAAAAAAAAAGGAAATCAAAGAAATGGAGATGAGATGAGATGAGTTGTCACATTATTATTGGATGATGTGAGTGATTTTTTAACATTTCTAGTTTTGATGTTGTTCGGTTGGCGAAAAAAATAAGGAAATGAGTTTGTAGGAAACCTAGTTCCTGTAGTTTTCTAGTTTTCTTTTGTTCGGTTCATTCTTAAAAATAAGAAATGAAATGAGATGAGATGAGTTGTCATTGTATTATTGGGTGATGTGAAGAAAGATTAAGAAAAGTGTTTTCATAAGTTTTTGGGATGAAAACTAAGAAATGAAATGTTAATGAGATGAGGTGAATTGTTATAATATTTTATTGGATGATGTGAGTGATTTGAAATGATGAGAAGAGATGAGTTGAGTGATGTTTGGATGAAAATAATATTTTATTAGATGTGGTGGATGAGTGGTTAGATGAAAATAATATTTTATTAGATGATGTGGATGAGTTGTTGGATGAAAATAATATTTTATTGGATGTTGTGGGTGAGTTTTAGGGATGGAAATGGAAGAAATGAGTTATTTTGAGATTTCCACCTTTTCCATTTCCATTTCTTGGTTTTTAGAAAACAAACGAACAGGCCCTTACTTTCCGGTTGCCAAACATGTCCTTTGAAAAGCCATCAATTTCTCATGATAAATAAAGGAGGAATAGTATCTTGTTTGTATTTTGGGTATCCGAAATGG